ATTTTAAAATACCGACATAAAAGATCTCCTAACGACGATATTGAACATTCTCGAGAAAAGAGGTACATTTGCGAATGCTTTCGGCAGAAGAACGACGGTGGAAACAAAGTGTTTCTACAAAGGCGCTAATGAAGCGTACAAGAAAACGAAAGATGCCAATTTTGTTACGACCAATAAGCAAAATTTCCATGAAGCAATTCAGCATACCGGACGATTACTCTTCATCGGTTCTTACGGCAGTTACATGCAAACGCGATGAAAATCGCGTTCCGTTCTCAAGGGACTGACCCAAATTGCAGATCACTATCATCTAGAGCATACTGACGAGATGAGGCTGACTCACTGTCAATGAGAATCGCATAAATCAGCATCGTTGATCCATGACTCGGTTCACTTTCAGATCTAATTTGAAGTGTCAACGATCGAAGTTCGAGCTGATAAATCCGCAATGAAAAACAATGGAAAACATCGATCTGTTATTTAACGCGTTACATGGAACCAAATGACACAACTTCCTGATACATTTTTTATACATTTTAGTACACTTTACTGAACAAAGAAAGACATTGAAAGGTAAAAGAATCCCGCAAGATATGCAGTTTTTTAGTATTTTCATCCTTTTTTTCGTAAAATGAACAAGCATAACATGCAATTTTAATTGCAAACACTGTGAAAATTATTTTAAATAGAAATGTTTACTTTTTTAAAGGAACTTTCTGGATAAAAAGTAGAAGCAAAAATAAATATAAATAAATTTACGCGATAAACAAATGTATACTTTATATGATAAATCGAATCTCACGAGGCCGAAATAAATAAACGTAGCCACGCTCCCGAGAGCCTTTTTGTCCCCTTAATTTTTCTCATTTCTCCCTTGTTCTGTAATGCTAATGAGAAAAGATAGCCGGTAATAAATCAAGGAGCACCATAAAGAATGGATCTTTATGAACTCACAGTCCTCCCAGCGATACCACCACCTTCTTCCTGCTAATTCTTTGTCCTGCAAATATACCGTGCATCGTTTAGCACATAATAGGGAGCTTCGTTAAAATATTGGGTTGTCCGGAAATTTCGTAGCGAAATTTCGGAAGAATTCAAACCACCGTATCTCTGTATCTAATTCAGATAGCGGCAAAAGCGAATAGATGTTTTACTCCATAGTTGAAAACGAATTTAACGCACTCCTCGAATTATTCTTAAGATAAACGGAGGCAGATATAAGTCAAACTATATTTTCCGCGATGCAGCGTGGATGTTGAATTTTTTCTCTGTTCACCTTATATTCCTCAATTTCGCTACTAATTTTCCGGACAACCAAATATTTAAAACGTGCCCGAGTAAAATTCACAAAAAAATCGAGATCTTTCCTTGGCAAAAGTTCGACCTTCCAGCATAGCGATTTCTCACAAACCTAATGCCCACTAGCATTTTCCTAAATTTCGCTGCGAACTTTTCCGAACGACCCGATATTTGAAACGTGAACGAGTGAAGTTCAGAAAAGAATCGAAACGCGGCAAAAATCGAGAGAGTCAGATCTTTCAGCACCGCGATTTCCCGCAAACCTAATGCCCACCAGCGTGTTTCGTATATAAATACGTGACCATCTTGATCGCGGATGGAACGTTAACACGTGTGCAGTTAGCGGCTGGCATTGTGTCGGAAAAAGAGCAGGCAGAACCGGTGCACGATACTTCTCACCGAATCACGACATCGATGAGCCCTTAACGGTGCATCTAGCCTACGTGGAATTCTCTTAGCCGGTGGATTTTCAATTCGATTCGCCCGACAACCGGTAATCTAATCGTGCAAAACCGTTTGCCACTCGAGCGTATGCTCGATATATACCATTTTAGCGAAGCGTAATGTACCTCGAAACGATCGACGAGGTGATAGTGTTTGCGATTAGGTTGTCCCAACGTCGATACACGTTGCTCTGAACGGTTGGAAATGTTTGATGAAAATAACATTGTAACCACGTCCGTGGTAACGCGATAATGCAATTTGTTCCCGGGGGAATATCGCTCAGAACGTTTGATCTTTGGAAATCTCAGCCTTCGAGAGGTGAACCCTTGTATCGGTACTTCGCACGAGGATAGCTGAAATTGGTGTTATCGATTTCTGAAGTGTTGGTGGTGTTAGCTGAGCTTTCGTATTAAAGAATCCTCTGATTCTTTGTTGTTTCCTTAGAAGTCGTTCAACTTTTAACTCGGAAATGAAATGTTTAACATATCTCGTTTCAGATAGAAATTGGAATTATAATATTTTGGAACTGTGTGAAAGGACTCTTTCAGAAATCTTTTTAACCCTAGTGCGTTCTTCCGCTGGAGTATAAACTTTGTGGCTCTTGGGTCTTTCGTGACCCAAAGACCTGATGTGTAATCATTTTTATTATACGCTTATTAAGGGAACATAAACAAATATATTAATAACAATTTCATTCTTAAGTTATTAAATTTCATTCAAAGTTACTAAAAAAATGAGAACACGATGGGTCAAAAAAGACCCGAAGACCTCACTAGGGTTAAATTACCTATCTCTCTACTGGAAAATTCTATTAGATGCAAAGAGTTAACTATAAAAGTCACTGTAATATTTTTTTCCATTTCTGCTTGTGCAGTAAGCCGAAAAATATCTGCGTTTGACTAATGAAAATTTAACCTATGATTACTGTCGCGAGCCAATCCGTGACTCACAGGATGTGAGTCTCCTCTCTTAAGCTTGTTACTCATCGAAATCGTTTATTCGATAAACTTAATAATCAAGTGTATTTTTCTCGATATTCCATCAATTTGCACGCGTTATATGTGCACGGTGTTAGAATAAAATGGGATAATAATATTCAGCTCGTATCAGAGCGTACTTTTCGAGGGATTCGTTGGCTGTTTTTCGAGGCAACGACCTCAGCGTACACATTGACTTCTCCACTCGCATGGCCATGAAGTTTCTATCGTACTCCGCGAGCGTGAAATTATTTTTCATCATCGATCAAGTCGTTAACTTCGCATCAACGTCAGGCTGCGTTAAATGAGCGTAAGATCGTGACAGATGTTAAAGGCTGTTCTCATCGACGCGACCTTCAACATTGTACACGTTTTACAAGAATTAATTACAAGAATAGCAACAGATCCGTAAAATCTTGTCTCGCTGTAATTGTTTCAATCTCTCCGAGTGTTCCTACTTTATTGTTCCCGACACGAACAAAACGACCTCGAAGTGTACACTACGTCTCGAACGATGGTTCTTCTTTCCGACTATCGAACATCAATTTCGTGATTTCACGCATCAACTCTGTGAAAAATCTGACGTCGCAACGGACCGTGACAATCGTTACAGCATATTCCATTCCGTGGCTGAGTCTTTTTGTTCTCATTTTTCAAGTATCACTAAAAGTAACGCCAAATTGATCTACTTCGCGGAGCCTTTAAGCACACTGTTTTTCTTCCCTCTGATTATGTGTGCCATCACGAACATAAATTTTATCTCCTCAGAGTTGGAATGTGTTCGCTACAACCGCGACAGTTTCAGATAGACAAACGAGAAATATTCACTTTAGAGAAGTATTTGTTTAAAATAAACACGTCGGATAAAGAAGTCCTTCCACAACAGTGAAAGATAAATTAACAAAGAAGCTTGGAGCAATATTAAACCGCGAACAGTTGAAAAATTAATTGCCAGAATGACGATCTTTTAAGAAATTCCACTTTCCTAAATTTATATTATTTTTCTAAACAATAGCTACAAAATAATTATAACTTTTTCTTTCAATTATAATCAAGTACAGCTTGATTACTATAGCAGACTAATATTTAAGGGAAACTTTATTTGTTTTGAAATCATAACATGCTCCAAACTTTTGAGCAAGAGTGTACTATCTTCATGTACAATTTAAAGAAGAGATTATTTTTCGAAGTTACAGCAGGATGATGAATTCGATAGGCTAGACGAAGATTTATAAATATGATAACTATAAATTTGAATGTATCTATAACCGTACAGAGTTACGTTCGTTTCAACTATTACATTCCACTGACCGCCGAATGGAATGGTATACTAAGTTTTCTGTACGATCCCACCTGCCGCGCTTGACTTTGGAAACTTCTTTCCTTTTTTTTTCCTTTTCTTTTTTTTTGAGCATTCCTTCTCGGCGCAGGTACCGTTACTGGTATTACTGTACACCTGACTAAAGTTATTGCGCGTTCCGATTATTGAATCGTCGAATAGCTGCGGTTAGTTGGTCAATAAACGTATGCTGCTCTCAAAAACGAAATCTCGGTTGCACGCGAGCAATAAACATTTCGCAAAATTACTTCCTTACTGTGACCTTTTTAATTTGCTAACGAGTACAATTTCTCTACGTAACGAGAATAAGTTAAAAAACAATTCAGTGCAACAGAACGAAGTAACAAGGTTTTCCTTTTTATTTTCTTCAACCCTTTCACTGCTGTTGTCGCCTACAGGCGCTCCGACAATTTTCTCGTAGTGCGCTCTTGGCGCCTATAGGCGTTTCGAATATTTTCTCGCGCTGCGACTTTGCCGCCTACAGGCGTTTTCAATATTTTCTCGCTCTGTGCTCTTGGCGACTTTTGACACACTTCATTTTTGCCATTTACGCACTTCCACCTTAATTTAATAAAATGACAAATTTTTTACAAATTTGAAAATGCCAAAGCAAAAGATTTTGAAGTCGCTTTGAACATCTACCGTCCGCCACGCGTGTTACGAACTAAAATCTGTCGCAGTGAAAGGGTTAAAGGGTCAAATCACTCCTGAGGCCTGAAAATGATACCTGCTTTATTTTTTGAAAATTTTTCACAAGTACATTATTATATTACCCTTAAAGAGTGCAAGAGTATTTTAATTAATTTAATTTCTTAACAAAATGGCGCTACCTCGATTTTTTCAAACCTCAAAGGTGGTTTAACTCCTTAATTGTCATTATTGCCATTGAAAATGTATGTATCTCGATCAGATATAAACATGCACATCTTTTTCGATTGTAGAATGATTATTACTTACCGCCACGCTCTACATGGTCCAGGGTGTCGCCACAACAAACGAAACAGCACAGAGGCAGCACAACATGGAAAGTCGGCAGTGCGATGTTAATTGTCTCCGCGATGCTAGTATTAATTGCCGTGTTTGCGATTGCAGGACTTGCGTTATGGATGGGAGGTTCGTTCACACCTTATGATTCTTGCTATACCTATCGAAATTATACACATAAGATTAACAACGGACCTTATTTCGTTTCAGCTCTTCGAACAGATTCAAAGAATGGTAAGCGATATGTTTTAAAACAATCAATATATAATTAATACTAAATGCTAGCCTAACGCTATTTTGCTATCGTACGATTTATCGTCACGTAGCTATAGATTGTTTGTTAGAAAACATTAGAAATTATATTGCAATTAGATTAATAAAGTTCATTACGATAATACTTTCAGCGATCGTTGGGTTCTCCTGCAGTTTCAGGGTGGCTAAGGGTGAGAAATATAATCCAATGTTGAAATTAAATACCAGTATGGTGTTCCGCGAGAAGGAACGAAAATACAAAAATATAGTAAGTGAGATAATCAGTTTTATTGTCTGAAAATTTTCTATTAAGATTTTTTACAAATTTATAACTGACGAATCGCTCGTGTATTTTCAGTTCGAACTGTTATTTCGAAGAAGCGTCATAAGCACCGCGTACAAGCAAACAATCATAGACAAATTCGAAAACGGGATTTTGAAGGTTTTCTTCAGGATCTATCTAGACAGAAGGAAGATACCACGATCGATCACAAATGTCGAGGACACGATCAAAGACATTATCGCGAAAGAGACGTACTCATCGTCCTCCTTGTTCAAGGATATGGAACTGGACCTCACTAGTGTATCGGTAAAAAGTGAGTAACCGTTAGAAGCAACACCTGATCGCGATAAAGTAGTATCATCATAATTACCCAATCATCGACTTAACAAAAAGAAAATTCTATTTCTTAGACAGTACGTTACAGTTTCACCCTTGTGCGGTTCTCTGGTCTTTTTTGACCCAAGGAATTTAAGTGTCTAGTCTAACGAAAGAACGCACTACTTATGCATTAGTTTGTGCAACATAATGTGTATTCCTTTCCCTAATTCAGGAATAAACCAAGAGGTACCAGGCAGCCAAAAGCAAACGCAACAAAAGAACGCGATGATCACGAAAAACGGTCTTCTCCGGCCCACTCGAAACAATTCCCTAATCACGAGCTCGAAAGCGAAATCTAAACCGACCAAGATCGAATCCACCGAGCCTGACATCGATTTCAGCAACATACCAACGATTCAAGGAACCTACAAAGCCACGCATGTGAACCTTACTTCCACGAAAAACCAGACTTCCACTCAGGATCCTATGAAAGTTCAATCCAACGCGAGAAACACTACCAAGGTATCGTTATCTCCCGAAAAAACTACCAGTAAACTGGCCAGTATTGAAGATACCACCGAAGCGAGTCAAAGTAGCACGCAAACGACTGCTAAAATAAAGGAACAAGTCCATTACACTGTGCACAATGAATCCTTCAACGACACAGCCGCAGAAACGGTTAGAAACGTCACTGCTACATCCACGAGCCCCACGACACAAACTAAAGACGAGGATCTCTTCAAGGATTTTCACAAACCCGACTTCGAGACATCGCCGTGGAAGCCTATCATACCTGAGTACGTTAACACAGAACTGAAATTACTGCCGGACAACGTTGGTAAGGCTACCAAAGTGAATTACAAGGTGAACACCACCGACGTGAATCTCAGAGACGTTGTTCTCAGCACAACCGCGAAAACTCCTCAAGAAAACGACGAAACGAAGGTTCCCGAGCCTTCGACACCTCGCACGAAACTTCCAGAACCGCCAGAATTGTTGAACACCTACATGGACGTTCCTGGAATGAGCACCTTCGACATCGGAGACTCGGACTTTCCAAGAGACAGAATTGTTCCGCAGGAGATGGTGAATTTTCGAGTGAACGGAAAGTTCAAGAACAAGATCCCTGGACTATTGGAGGATGGACAGATCTTCACGGAACCTACGCCGTCCAAATTCGACGACGATGAGAGACCAGAGATAGAAGTAGCTGGTCAACTGCCATCTGAGACCTACGATATTAAGCTTCGAACCTCTGCTCAGCCTGAGAGAACTGAATTCTCATTTACGAGACCCGATCGATTCGCGAACGAAAATGAAACCGATTGGAGAACTCCTAGCTCGCAGATGTACACTATAACAGACAGTAAGTACGGGGATTCTGTTGAGAAACAGGACGACGGTGTCAGAAAGCCTGTCGATTCGACGAAAGGAAGCAAAAAGAAAGTGGACGAGAGCAGTGTGAAAGATAAGGAGAACTCGGAGAATTTCTTATCTGGGGTTAGTTCGACTCTCAGATGGCGAGCTCAGGAATCGGTTCATACAGAGATTAGCGAAGAGACAACGACGAAAGCGTCAGCAGTGGGAGTAGCAGAGCCCGTTTCAGATATGGACGCCGAATTGGAAGCGAGAAATCGATACTCGGACACCCAAGCCATCGGTAAACATAGGAATAACGCTTTGCAAGACAGAAAAGTCGACAAGAATACGCAGGAGCCTGTGTACACTAGCTACAAAACGCCTGATCTGAACGGAGCTGGAATTAGACCAAGTTTGATCGAGAGTTCTGGAACTTTGAAGCCCTTCAGGCACACGATACCCGTGGATAAAATCGCGTCCGTTGTTAGTTACAACAAGAACGAGAAGGAGAGTTTGCTGAAACAAGAAATAAACACTGTAACAGATAGCATAATCAACGACGAGGAAAAGTTCACCGAGGACACTCGATTGAACGCAGACTTGAGCAGCGAGGAAAGTAGCCAGGAAAGAAACGCGACAGAGGAAGAAGCTGTAAAAGTGTTTCCAGTGAATTTGAAGGAAGTCGTTACATTGGAAACGATAAAACATGAAGATGGTAATACTGAAGCTAGTGCAAGGATCGAAATGTCTGAACACACGGAACCGACGAAATCCAGCACTGCTGAGAGTATAATAGACGATGACAAGTTTCTGAAATTGAGCACGACGGAAGTTTATTCCGAAATGATACACCCGTTGTACAATAACGTGGATAAGTTAGTCGTAAAGAACGAGGGAACTAAAGAAGCACCGCCGAGAAGAATGACGATGAACATTTCAAGGAACTCTACCTTCATCGAAATCGACACGCTGAAGCACACACCTGGAGAAGTCGAAGAAGACTTCAGTTCATCGAGAAACAAATCTTCGTCGAACAAAACCGAAGACAATTGGTTTTTCAACGGAACCATCTATCGACCATTCACCTCTCCCGAAACTAGAAAAAAGATCTACAACGACACTCTGAAAGCTTACGTGGTAGAAAATTTGGTCACTCTGGCACCTGCCAAGAGTAACACCGGAGTTGGAAGACCTATCAGGCCAAGACCTAAGCTCGACCGGGAGAAAACGATGAGAATCGACCAGAAATCCTCTAATCGAAGTTCCTCGGACGATGCTACGCTGTTGGAACAGTTGTTCGGTGTATACAATAACAACAGGAAACCGACGAAACGCGATTCGTTTAATCACGAAGATCCCATTGAAACGGAAGCAAAAGGTAAAGAGAACTCGAACACAGGACACGCTAGGTTTGAACAAATAGTAGAAGTGGTAACGTCCATCAGCACGAAGGTGTCCTCGAATTTCAAGGAAGATCCTGTGGTACTTAAGTTCGTCGTCACGAATTCGACCTCCCTTCCGGTGATACACTTGCAGTCTCACGAAGAAGGAACCTCGACTCCTCCAACATCTGCACCTGAAGGGATCTCTACCGGGAGCAAAGAGGAGAACAGATCCTTTAGAGATCAAAATTTGAAGAAAGAAGCGATAACGTGGACAGAGAAAACGCCAAGTTTGACGTCCGCAGACGTGCAGACGTCGGACAGAAAAATCTCCACGATCGAGGAGAATCGATTTCTCTTGGAGAAGCTGAAGCAATTGGCTGAGATTGGAACGGAGAACGAACCGGTGAAAGGTAAAAATAATTCTAGACCGGAGATGTCCCCGTCTCACATTTTGAGTGTAATATCGAACGTGAAATCTGACGATCATCGACCGTTGACTGATTTCGAGAAATTGAAGGAGATCGCTGATATAGCGACGGGAAATGAAACTCTGATGAACTCAAGTGCGGGATTCACGCTGACTCGCGATGGTATGGAAATATTCACGAAGATACTGAATAAAATCGAGGATCGCACCGATAAGATGATCTCTACCACTGAAGACAACTTGGAAACTGGTAATTGTTTGTTCAGATTTGCAGCGTTTTCTCTTCTTTTTTTGGCAATGGATTTAACATTCTCATTTGGCGTCATGCGTTTTCACAGATCGTTGTTTCGGTTTCCTATGCAGAGATGGGAAATGCTTGCCCTCCAGTGGTAGATGCAACATGTTAGGTGAATGCCCGAATTCAGAAGACGAGGCGAATTGTACGTGCGCTGACTTTTTAAGGGCGCAGCTCTTACATCAGAAGATTTGCGATGGCGTGGCGGATTGTTGGGATTACTCGGACGAAACGGACTGCGGTATTTATCGTTCGCTTTAATTATTGAACTTAGTTAATTGCTGTAATTACGCTGTAAAACGCGGTGAATTATTATTTAAAAAATAAAAAGGTAACAGCAATAAGGCTGCGTTAATTAATTTCTTTTTACAGACATATTTCATAAAAACTTATTTTAACGGTAAAATTACAGTCTACACTTGTACATATATACATTTCTTTTAAATTATTAATACCGATAAATAACACGCTTGAAAACCTGAACACGTCAAATTACTTGCAAAATTCATAGTTCTTTTGTTAATATTGTTGGTAAAATTGCATTATTAAGTTGGTGCATCTGAAGCGTCGTTTTTTGAAATGAAACTTTAGATACACTGTGTTTCTTCTAAAAAAAATATATTTAAAGGGATTCCTCAACCTGAGGTGTCTAAAAATAGGTAAAGTTTGGGAATTTTTTTCATAGGTAACTACTAAATGAAAAGTTACAATTTTTTCAGAGAATATAAATGTAACTTTCAGCTTCTTTCTCTAATTTTTAAAAAGCAAAAATAGAAATTTTACTCTTTGAAAATTTTTTTAAAGTAATGACTAGCATATGTACAATTGTTTTCATTTCCCCCTCTGCAAAATTCGATAAAAATTAGTAAGTTCATTTTTATCTGCAGTTTAGAGTTTGATTGATATCAATCTGATACTTTACACTAGATTGGTGCGAGGAGGGCCAATTTGTTTGCGGTAACAGTCGAACGTGCATAGACCAACGCAAAGTTTGCAACGGCTACACCGACTGTCCTGGAGGAGAGGACGAGAAGAAATGTGCAGCTCTGATAGACGATGGCATAGCTCTGTACCCATCACCTGAAGGACACTTTTCGGAGATAGAATCGACTACTAACAAAGACATCCTCTACGATCAGGAAGCAGTGGAATCCTCGATTTTCGAGTCAACCACCTTGCACGAGCTGAAAGATACTATCCAATTAGAAAAACTTATAAGCACCAAGGATGAACCTGCGATTAAAGAAGGATCGTTTCTCGATTCTCGTGAAAATTCTAACGCTACAACCCTCGTCTCTGGAAGGGAAATATCCTCGAACGGAAAAGACACCTTGGCTCATGGAAACTCGATTCACGTAAATCCAAAGAACGACACAACGTCGATAATCAGTATTACAAAAGAGATCAACAATTACAACGAAAGGGGCTACTTGAACATCCGAAAGAATGGGAAATGGGGAAAATTGTGTCTAAGTGGAATGGACAACCTTTTGCAGGAGAGACAAGCTGTCTGGACTTTTTTTTATTTACAAAATTTCTTTTTTATGGTATATTCGACAACTAAATTATATTCGTAAAAACTAAATGAGAATTTTCACAGTAAAAAATCCTGGTCTTCAAACTTCGGGAAAAGCAAAAATATTTCATTTAACAAATATCATATTGCAAACGAAATTATACAAATAATTATAAATTCGTGGAAATGCGATTGATATTTAATTAAAAATCACTTTCAGAGATTACGATACGGTGGAAAAAGTATTGGACGATAGTCCAACGTCGGTCAGATCGTACTATACTCTATCGTACAATGAGAAATCTCTGGATAAAACGATCCTGACTTTCAAGCCTTCCGAGTGCCCGAGCGGCGAGATTCTCAGGGTCAAGTGCAAGAACTTTGAGTGCGGAATAAGAACGCAGGCACCGTCTCAGGCCAGGTATACGGGCTGAACCAGTTTCTCATAATTATACCTGACCGGATCATTTGCAAAACTATTTGTATACAAATGCGCTCCGGGGATAATGCATGCCTCCACCCTGTGATTCGGTAATAACAATATATCGGTCGTAAAAACCAAGTTGCAAATGATCTGCATAAAATTAGAATTATTACGATAGTTACCGTTCAGGATTATAACGATGATGGTGATGATGAACTTCGTTGTGATGTACTGGTGGCCATAAAGTTTTATTGCATAAAATATGATGTTAGGTCCAGCATGTCTCGTTTCAGTCAGGAAAGCATGTCGCTTCTTCTTTCTGTCTTTTTGCTGTTCATACTCTTCTGTAATTTGGAATCGTTGATAGATTTTGTTGGAAGGGAGAGATCGTTGATCGACGTGCTTCGTGTAACTAAAAACAATTCGAAATTGGAGAAAGTTAGATATTATAAATTTAGATATTATAAATTCAACGATCGAGAGATTCAAAAATCTTTTAAACTAAACATGGTTTTCTTTCGCAAAGTGAAAAATTATCGATACAGAATTTAAACCATCGAATTTTTAAATATTTCAAACGAAAGGCAATTTAGTGCCAATTTTCATATACTAACCAAATTTTAAATATTTTGTTAAATTGAACAAATGTATCGCTTAAAAAAACATACATTGAAATAGATCGAATGTTTCACGACGTTCTAGGATAGTCGGAGGTGGTAGCTCGTCGGCCGGAAGTTGGCCATGGCAAGTTGCTTTATACAAAGAAGGTGACTATCAATGCGGTGGAGCTCTCATCAACGAAAGATGGATTCTCTCCGCGGCACATTGTTTTTATCAGTAAGCAAATCTATAATATGTTAATCAAACGGAAACAACTAAAATCGATTAAATACCTAATTGATAATATCGTGAAACAAAAATGCAATTCTTAACACATCTTAGAATCGGATCAGAAAATTTCTTACATATGAACAATAAACTTTCGTGACAATATTTACAAAAAACATTGCTAAGATATAATTTACAATCGTAAAGTTTAACGTTTGAATCTAATTGATGCAACGATTTAATTGAAATTCTAATGTCACTTGCAGCGCACAAAACGAATACTGGGTGGCGAGAATCGGTGCGACTCGTAGAGGAAGTTTTCCAAGTCCGTACGAGCAGGTCCTACGTTTAGATCACATATCTCTGCATCCTGATTACATCGACAACGGATTCATAAATGACATAGCGATGCTTAGACTTGAAGAACCAGTAACATTCAGCGATTACGTTCGACCAGTATGTCTGCCTCAGTCAGAGCCAAAAAGTGGTACTACATGCACGGTAACCGGTTGGGGACAATTATTCGAGATCGGAAGGATATTTCGTAAGTATAGTGCTATTCGATGGTCGTTAAGAGTACTATTAAGAACATACCCGTTAATAACAATGTTTCATTGAACAGCGGATACGTTGCAAGAAGTACAGCTTCCTGTTATTTCAACGGAGGAGTGTCGAAGGAAAACGCTATTTCTTCCGTTGTACAGAATTACGTCGGGAATGCTTTGCGCAGGATTGAAGGATGGCGGAAGAGACGCTTGTTTGGGAGACAGCGGAGGACCGTTAGTTTGTTCAGGATCAGACAACAAGTACACTCTTCATGGTAAACGTTCAACCTATTTTAATGACACAGAGAAACGATAGACAATATCAATGATATTACAAACACATTGGGTTAAATTGTAATAGTAAATCTTGTCGTTCTATTTAACTACTCTGTTACTTTATCTTCTTTAAAAATGGCAGATGAAAGGATAAAATAATCAGAAAATACCATTTATTCTTGGGTACCTAATTTATTTAGGTCACAGAATAGTTGACACTGGACCATACGCACAATATCACCTCGTATCACCTGTACAAAGAATAAATTGCATTAAAATCATGTGGTTGTTCTTTTCAGGCATCACTTCCAATGGTTACGGTTGCGCCAGACCCGGAAGACCCGGAGTCTACACGAAAGTACACTACTACCTTTTTTGGGTCAAGTACGTTATTTCGAGACAGGATATTCCATCCTCGATAGCTTCCTGTAAAGGTCACCGATGTCCTCTGGGGGAATGTCTGCCGAAATCTCGAATATGCAACGGGTTCTTAGAGTGTTCGGACGGTAGCGACGAACGTAATTGTCCTGTTAATCTGTAGCGAGGAAAAGACTGAGCGTTTTCGTATTTATTTGTTCGAACGAACGAATTAATTATTTTTTATGAGATAAGCCTAAGTGTGAAGGCAGGTAGTAAGAAGATTAGCTAATTCGTCGCGAACTATGAATTTTGCAAATAACATGAATTACACAGTGCAAGTGAAGGGATAGAAAACAAAGGCAAGATGAACGATTAAATGAAAAAGAGTTGTTGAAAGAAGCATAGATATCAAAAAGCGTTTCGTTTGCGTTTAGTCCGTCTTCGGAAACGCTGTTGTAAAATATCAAATATTTGTTAACTTTATATAGATGTGCAATACATAACTAGAAATCAAAAGTTAAGGATGAATGTTAGAGAGTACGGTGTTTGAAAGAATCTCGATCGTTGATAATGATCAACAGACTACTGTGAACACCGATTCCATACTTTTCTACTACAATTATCTTTGCATTTTTGATAGTTAACATTGATACGTTCGAATTATAAAAACAGATCTACTAATGATTACGCATTAGAAGATTGCACGCGCGACTCGATTCGTTCGAAGACAGTGCGAAAATAGTCGCGCAAAGTTAGTATTTCAGAGTCACTAGCGCTCGACTCAGGAATACTGGGTAGCATAGAAATATTTAAATAAACCTGGCATTCTGATTCTTTTGGCTTGGTTACAAAACGAATCTCTAGGCCACGTATATTGTGCTCACTATTTCAGTGTCTTCGTAAGTTCAAATGTTTTTTTAACATAAAGTATGTATATATATCGTATCTAACTATGTAAAAAGATTCGTTTAATACTAATAAATAGAAGAATTAAATAAAACAAATAGTGCCGTTGATCATCTTGTTTCAGGAAAACACTCAAGTCTCGTCTTGACGCCTGAAAAATATACGAAATTAGGATACAATACAGTATATTCTCCACAAGTGTCAGACCGCAAGGAAGCTAAACCTGACACTCCTAGAGTCAGGGACTACGTTTTCGAGCCTCGCGCCCGCCTTTGTAGTTTGCCGAACGTAGACAAGGACAGCGAATAAAAGATAAGCATGAAACGTGAGTCGAGGCAACAAAGCGATTTAAATATCAACTTTTTTAATTTTACGTTTTTTTATCCCGAAATTTTTCTTAACATATTGATGAGATTTTTCTGATGAAAATGACATAAAACACGACATAATTTGAACAACATTTACTTATTAACACGTTCACTGTCACGCCAGATTTACAGGTGCTGTCAGGCGGCCACAAGAAAATACATTTTATGCATATACATTAAGCAGCTCAAATTTGAGCTGGTAATACACAACACAACTAACTACAAAACCAAATCACCAGAAAAATTTTCAATATTATTATTGAAGTAAACTTTCGTAGAACGAGAGTGAAAAATTGAAAGAATCAAAAGAAAAAACGCGAATTCGTATCTTTTTCGATTCTAGAATATAAGAAAATTTGAATAAAATACGCGACGAGAATTGGGGAGAAGCATAAGTTAAACACGTAAAA